ACCCCAGTCTCTCTCCCTCTGGTCTCCTTCGCCACCAGGGAGGGCCAGGCTAAGGTCGCGGCAGCTTCGGCTCTTCTCCGCCCCCAGCCGCTGGGAAGGGCAGGGGAGGGCCAAGGCCACAGAAAGCCCCAGCTTCCAGCCTGCATGGGGGCCCCAGGAGGACCAGGCTGGGAGTAGGTGGGACTTGGCTCCTGTGGACATCCCAGAGGAAATTTTAAAAAAATATATAGAGAAAGATATCCAGCTGCAGGCCAAGCTAGGACTTGGCTTCTAAAGTGTGAAACGCATACAGGGATATTCTACACGTGCAGCTAAAATAGCTTTAAAGCCATGAAAACAAGTCTAAATTTGAGCTAGCAAGGGAAGTTCTTTTCAAGGCTGTGAATTGTACCTGTTTATCTATGACCACATGCTCTTTTGGTTTCCAGGCAAACCCCAGGCTTGAGTAGGGTGCTAGAAGTCTAGAATTTGAGGCAGCTCCCTAAACTCTGTCTAGGAAGGAATTCCATGTACAGTAGCAGTTTAGAAGGTCCCTCAGGCCCATGAGAGGTAGCCTTGACCAACAGTCTTTTTATAATCAAGCATAGAAAAACAAATAGCAGCTTTGGCCAACCCTACCTGCCTGCCTACCTCCCCGGGGCTCTGGCAGTCAGCAGTGTGTGTAGAGATCCTGGGTTCATCCTTTCCCTCAAAGAATGACACATAACAGAACCATTCTTCTGCCTAAAGATGCTCACTTCATGCACCTTTCCCAACTATCCCATGTTGATGTTGGTGAAATGACTCTTGTGAGCCACCACCATCTGCAACACCACTGAGAAGTGCTCCTGATTGTTTGTCAGGGGTGGGGAACCTTTTTAGTTCGGGGGTGGCTGACAGACAGAAAATGAGTCAGGGGCCGCACACAAGTGAGAAGCAACCCCCCCCCCAAAACAAAGTGGCCTCCAAATGAGAAAGACTCCCCATTTTCCCCTTGCACACCAGAGCCTAGAGAGCTCATTCTAGCAGATTTTGTGTGCTCTAGCACTGTGGTGAAGCAGCTGGGGGAGGAAGGGTTGAAACAACCAGCACGGGCTTCCCAATACTGGGGGAGCCCCTGAGCCTTGGGGGCCAGATCCAGGCAAGCCAGGGGCTGCATCCAGACCCTGGGCCTGAGATTCTTTGGCAAGGTGGTCTGGCACCAAGACAGGGATCTGTTCCATCTATCACCTCACCATAGCTAGGGGAGACTTTGCATAACTGGGTTCCCTATGTCCTCCAGAGTCACTATCCTTCCTAGCAGAAGGATACTGATTGCCCCGGATGCTTGAATCACATGGCAGCCCCCACTGTGGACTTACCCACTCTGCACTGATTCCTGACTGACCAGTAGCTGTCTGGCATAGCAAGCTATCATATGGCTATTGCCTCTCACTTCTCAACTGTCAGAAAAGGTCTAATTTTGGTATTGCTGCAATTCAGGGTGGGGGAAAACCAATTCACACAGTTCCATGAAAGTGGCATTACACATGTGTAAGTTTTGCATCATCTCATGGCTGCATAACTATGCAGTCCCATCACTCTTTGCTTCTTTCCCAGCACCAGAACCGGCTGCCAACATACCTCACGGGCGTCAGCATACAGTATAACAATTGCTCCATTCAGTATGTTCCTGCACATCTGGGAGTGTGGCTTCCTGGCTAGGCTTTGCACAAATCCCAGGATAATGTTTAAAATACTTGCCACAGCATTTTGCAGCTGAGCAGGGTCCATGCCCACTTGCTATGGCATCTGCACAGATAACCAGGAAAAAAGGAGGGCATGAAACGATTGCCATTGTCTTCAACCAAGATGGAGAGAGGAGGTAAGTGTATTATTGAAGGCTGACATATACCCAGAAACACCCACAACAATGTTTTTGTCTTATTAGGCATAGAGAGCTTAACCCAGAATTCAAATGGGCGGCAGGATCTGTGGGATGGCTACTCACATTGCATTGCTGTAAGAGTCGATGTTAGCTGTGGTAGTGGGAATGCTCTCCATTGACCATATATATATATATATATATATATATATATATATATATATATATATATATATATATATATATATATATATATATATATATATGTGCTTAGTAAGGACACGTGCCTTCAACTTTATAAAATCTGATGCTAAAAGTCAACCTCAATAAATTTAACCTAATTTCATAGGGTATGTCTACACTGCCACCCTAGTTCGAACTAGGGTGGCTAATGTAGGCATTCGAAGTTGCAAATGAAGCCCGGGATTTAAATATCCCAGGCTTCATTTGCATCTTGCCGGGTGCCACCATTTTTAAATCCCCGTTAGTGCGGACTCCGTGCCCGCAGCTACACGCGGTACGGAGTAGGTAGTTCGAATTAGGCTCTCTAATTCGAACTACCAGTACACCTCGTTCCACGAGGAGTAACGGTAGGTCGAATTAGAGAGCCTAATTCGAACTACCTACTCCGTACCGCGTGTAGCTGCGGGCACGGAGTCCGCACTAACGGGGATTTAAAAATGGCGACGCCCGGCAAGATGCAAATGAAGCCCGGGATATTTAAATCCCGGGCTTCATTTGCAACTTCGAATGCCTACATTAGCCACCCTAGTTCGAACTAGGGTGGCAGTGTAGACATACCCATAGTGTAGACATAACCCAACCTCAGACCAAACTTCCCATTTTCTCTAAAGCAGTAGCAGAGAACAATTAATAAAGACTACTGTAGACACACAGAAATCTGAATGCCCTATAGGGAATAAGACAACAATTATTTTTTTAAAAACTTCTGCTCAGGAACATAAAAGTCTTTTAAGTGGTACAGAAGCCATGTTACAAAAAATGGTAAATGTGATAAATGCTGCTAAAAAGTCTACACTAGTTTGGTGCTAAGAAGAATAAAATTCTCAATTATATTAGCTTTGATCAAATAGAAAAGTCATTTTGCCAGCATATATGTTTTTATTTTAGATTGCAATAAACATCAAATATTCCACATTTCATTGCAAAGGTCAGTTTTCTATTTATGCACTTAACATGAAAAGTTGATAATGTAATAGTTTCTCAAATGTAATGCACCTTTTGAATCTGTAAAAATATAAATTCAATAGCTGTACAGCTAAAAACATGATAAACACATTATGAAACCAACAAGTAATCGAGAAATACATTTATTTTTCAAATACAATTCCTGTTCCAGTATATTTATAAAAAGAAATCAGCGAATCTATTTTAAGAACTTTTTATTTATAATGCAGTTATATCACGATAGTGACTATATGTATTGTGCTGTTTCATGTTCAGTGTTTTCAAATAGAATTTGTTTAGTTTAGAAGTAAAAAGGATCCCTGTATTTGAGCCCTGAAAACTTCCACAGGATGTAAAAAGGTGAAATCCTGGCTCCACTGAAGTCAATAAAGGATTTTGCCATTGACTTCAGTCACCCAATGGATACGTATGTTAAATGAGAAAATGCTATTATTTATTGGTCATAATCACACTTTAAAACTTTGAATATACTAAAAAGATACTAAAACTTTTAGGGTGATATAATCCTGGTTATAATGATCATTCTAATATTTTGGTCAAATAGCAAGATCCAGGACAGTTATAACAGAAGCAAACAGTTGAAGAGACAAATAAAGTGTTAGTGACAAGACTGTGATGGCAGAGACGGAGGAATAGGTAATCTATATTTTTTCCTATGCCAGTGTATATAAAAATGGATGAAGAAAGAACAACATTCACCAATTACATCAGAGGAATGAAGGTATAAGTAGGTAAAAGCATGAGATTGCTTCTGGGGTGCTGTAGACAGATACACAGTACATGAAGGTAGATTGTATGCATAGAAAAATCAAACATTTCTAGTTAATGCAAAGAAAATATGTAGGTTTAATCAACTCCTCTTTCTCCGCTCATGATTTTAGCACATAAACCCTTAACACCAGTAATGTAGCTGTAAAGAAACAGAAACAGATACTTACTAAGGAAAGAGACCTTTTTTTGGTTACAGATTTTAATTAAAAAACAAAAATGTAAGCAAAATAAAAAACATGTAAGAACCCCAGTTTCAGTTTCTTTTCCTACTAGTATATTTACACGTAAAGTTTGTTTTGTGAGAGGTTCTCCATGATTCACATTTGCTCCCCAGAGCCCCAAGGTTTATTAATAGGATCAACCTGTATCTCTGGCAGAGGAAGACTGCAATACTCCTTCCCTAATCATACCCCCACCGCAAAAAACAACCTTCCCCCTCATGATACCCTCTTGCAGAAGTCCAGGCTGGCCTAAAAGTCCTCAGAATCTGAACTCCCATATCTTGCCTAGCAGCATATTATGCTATTGACAGAAAGGTTGGCTGCCTCAAAAATGTCAAGATTGCAGTGACTGTTTTATAGAAAGACAAAAGCCTACCTAGCTACATCATACAATCACACCTAAACAGAGGTCTGCCAATACAAAGGTAAAATCTTGATATTTGATACAGAAATACATTTCAAAACCTGATGCGAAATAGGCTATAATACTAATGACATTATGCAGAATGGGCACAAAAAAGCAGCTTTTAGAGAAATTAATGAATGGAAAACGAATGACAGTAGAGTTGAGTTTCCCAGTTGATACCTGTAGTTAGCATTTGCTCTTCAGATCAAATCTTAAGTTCCAAAAACTAGTTTGTGTGTAAGGTGATATGTTTGCTCCTCATCTGAATCAGTAAGCTGGCTTTTGATTTTAAGGATCATATTGGAAGGGATTTATTTGAGCTTTTCAAACATAGGAGATTTTGCACTTTTAAAATTCCCAATGCAGGTAAATATTACATCTTGCATAAGTATGTCAGAAACCATGAAAACTGATCTGAAAAGGCTTTTAAATGCATAGCAAAAATGTATCATGTTCTTGATCAATGAAGGCTTTGCATCTATTCACACATCTGATTTAGAAAAATAATGGCCTTGAACACCATACCTGGAGTCTTTACAGGCTTGGAATACTGAATGTTTCCTATTATTTATGTTGCCTTTTTTCTGGATGCCACGTTAACTTTATTAATCTCAGTCTACTGCAAACATTGAGTGTGCTGTTTTTCCTTCAAGATCCATTTCTGGAGAAAAAAATAATATAATTTTGCTGCTTTATTTCACTGCTAAAGTCTCAGATTCCTTTAATAGAAGAATGTCACTTTTCAGAAGAATTCACTGTAAATTTGAAATTAAATATGAAAATTAAATTTGAAATTCACTAACATTTTAGTATTATGACATTTCATCAACTGCGTAGGCATCCAGATGATCAGAGATATTCTTGTTACATTAGACTGTACAGTTCCCACTATTTGCTTTTATACATAAAAGACTGAAGTATACATTGATCATCAGAAAGACCAATCGATTCTTTTTATCGAGTGATTAATGTCAGATTATTATCAGTGTTACATTTTAATGATTATCCATTAGCCCTGTTGTGTACAACCAGTTCTGAGGAAGTAGCCACTATAGAGGTTACTGCTACAGTGAACTAGCCACTCTCAACTGGTCAAATAGCCACATGTGGCTAGCAGGCTAAACAACAGGGCATTAGTCTTTAGATCCAGGCTAGTCCTAACTTTTGCAAGATCCTTCTACCTCCATCTTGTCTAATCTCTGCCTTCATATAACAAATGATAGCCCCAACAGCTAAGAAAATTAAATTGCTAGTGGGACATATATACACAAGTTAGCCAGCCAACCAGGGAGCACAAGAATGGTACCCTGAAAGGGGAGAGGGAGAGGGAGAAAAAGAGAAAGACAAAACCTTAGGCTAATGAGGGTGATCAGACCTAGTAGCTGTCTGGTGATTGGCGCTGGGACACACTGGTCCTGTTTCCCTATAACCCGCCCCCCCACCTCCTGATTGGTGCCCTAGAAAAGGGCATTGATATTTTAACAACCATTTCATATGACCTTGTTCTGAACAAATTTAAACACACTTGTAGCTAGTCTATATTAGTGTTCCTACCATTGCTTCCATTAAAACAGCTGTACCATTTGTAGAACCAGTGGGAAACTTTTGGGGAAATGGTTAGTGTAGACATTCCCTTATGATCATCACCCTAAGGCTGTCATGCTAGCAAGTCATGGCCAATTGCTTTTTCTTCCCTACAAGAGAAGTAATCAGCTTTAATTCTCCCCTCCAGAGTAGAAGATGCAATTCTCTTCTATCAATCAAACACTGACAGGGAAGTTTGTATCTCTACATGGGCTCACAGAGATATAATATAAGCTATTTGATCTCACTGCTCTTGAAACTTGTTTCAGCTTTAGTACAAACTTTACAATTAGCATATGCAATAAGTTTCAGAACTTTATCCATTCTTAATGTGAGTTCTTAACATGCTATGTAAAAAAACACAAGAAGGTCACAGAAATATTTTCATCATACTACTCTTTCATGAAACAGAAAAATGCTTGGTTGGACGGTAGTTTGGAAACCAAACCATGATGGAAACATTTTAAAAATTAGCATAAGAGATAGAAAAATATTTCTTTACAATATATGAACACATTTTATTAACAAAGAGGAAGTGTGTGGGATGTGCATTAATCCAGTAGTGTTTTTCTCCAAAGTTTAGGTCCAAAATTGCACTTAAGGTCACAAATTAAATATATTTGGAGATTTTAATTTTACAACCAAATTGTGTTCTGATACATACAACTGTAACTGCACATGCGCATCATAGCAGACTTTGGCATGTAACACTTAGTGGATTCTTTGCCACAACATACAGTCACTACACAATTTGGTACAACTGGCTGTCTGCTTAAATGAGGTGCTAAAACTACAATAGCAAATGGATGCTGCAGGTCAAGCCTTGAGGGGAATTGGCAGAGGTGTGTAGACAACCTCTGGCACAGACCAGGCATTATCTTCTCCCTATACTAAGATACATGAACTTACTCCCAGACACATTTTGGTTACATTCTCAATACAGAATTATTTTTAAAAAGAAATATAAATAAAATAGTATTGACTTGCTTTAAAGTGAAGACTGAATTCTTGAAGCTAGGAGAAAACATTCTTGATTTTCATAAGGCAAGAGAGCACAAGTCCTTTTATATACATACTTTATTACATCCACAGACGATAAAATCCCAGTGCTACAGTAAGACATGTAAATACTGAACCTGAAAGGAAAAACAAGAGTTAGTGGGGAAAATGAGAAAAGGTGAGAGTACATTGTTAGTTTTTTTATCACTCCCTCAGGAAGTAATATTCCAACAGTTAACTACAAATATAATTAACTGTTTCAAGTTATGGCTATATTACTTATTTTATATTTAAGAAAACAAGCTATTCATCTCCATAGTAAAAAGATAATTTCAAAT